TTTTTTTTGATAAAATTTATCATTACTATAACTTTGAATATTCGCTACAAGCCCAAAATATCCAACTTTTAGATCCATTATTTATTATAGTTTCTGAGAAAATCTATAAAATGTGCAGACACGAGCGTAAATTTTTCATAATTTCATTTTGAACACGAATTACAGCCAAATATCCAAGTTTCTTATGCATCTTTTGAATCCATTCTATATATTACAGTTTCTGAGAAAATCATGTGTATAACATTCCCCAAATATCCAAGTTTCAGAAGCATCTTTTGAATCTATTCTATCTATTATAGTTTCTGAGAAAAATCTATAAAATGTGAAGACAAGAGCATTAATTTTTCATAATTTCATTTTGAACACAAATTATAGCCAAATATCCCAGTTTCAGAAGCATCTTTTGTTCTTATTCTATCTATTATAGTTTCTGAGAAAAATCAATAAAATGTGCAGACAAGAGCGTAAATTTTTCATAATTTCATTTTGAACACGAATTACAGCCAAATATCCAAGTTTCTTATGCATTTTTTTAATCCATTCTATCTACTACAGTTTCTGAGAAAATCACTAACTTTGCTTTCATTTCAGCAATGTATAACATTCTCCAAATATCCAAGTTTCAGAAGCATCTTTTGAATCCAATCTATCTATTATAGTTTCTGAGAAAATCAGTAAAATGTGATTTGTGCATTTAATTTTGTTTAAGAATTAAACACAATTTATTTTGAAGCACGTGGAGAAAGTCTACATCGAAAAAAAAAAGGATATTTTCAAGCAAAATTTAGTTATTTTTGCATCTGCTATAGTTGATAAAACATTAAAGAAAACATAAAAAAAATCGCAAATCGCAGGTATAAATGCTGTTTCTACGCTAACTTTGATCACTTTTGTGTGCGTTTATTTTCAAGTTCATCGACGTTAAGGTTATTTTTTCTGCTAGCCGCATTGGTGGTATGTTAATCCAATAAATCTTAAATTTTGTTCTTTGTTAAAATTGTAGTAAAATGTTGAACATCAATTACTCAATTATTTTAGTCTTGATTCAATATAAAAATTTTAAAAAAATAAATAAAAACCACGTGTTCACGCTAAAGTCAAGTCGATGGAGGAATGCACCGGGAATAGTAATTCTCATATAGACGAATCAATAATTTATTCATTAAAAACGTCTCGCGGGAGTAAAGAAAAATATGAAATAAACTTGAATTTAAGAAAATCAAATTTACTTCCACGATAATAGGATTAGTTCTTTATAATGGTAAATATTCTTATGGAAAAGAGGTCAGCATTGCGAGTGATCGGAATTAAGAATGAAGCTGCACACTTCCCCACGACGCTGCAAAAAAAAATAATTTGTATTACAATTTCCGCTGCCTTCCAATATGTGACTCAATAATGATCAAAGTGAACCTGAAAGAGGATACATGAAAATAATCGAATGTGGGATGCTTCTTGTCAAATATGTTTGCACGGATTATTAAATCACCGGTGCTCATCCGAGCGTCGCTCGAGAATCTCTTGAAACATCTATTCTTCGATTCTCCATTAAATATCCGTACAAACAAACAAAGCACTTTATAAAACGTACGCGCTTGATCAACTGTTATGATGATGATGCGTCTTCGCCAATATGAGGCGAATGCATCTGCACTGCAAATTTGTATTATTCTATCTACAATTTTTTTTTTTTCGTTTTCAGATGAATATGGCATTCAACGGATTTATAATAATAATAATACTCGTGCTAAGTGGTGTTCTCAATATCACAGCTGGAGTTAATAAGAACTGCGGTCTAGCAGATAAAAGTATAACCAATATAAATAAAAAAGATCTGTTCGTCTCGCGAGGATGGGGGGCGGGCGGCTCTGCTTACTTGGAATCGCCGTACGAGCCTCTCCGGAAAGCCCTGATTCGAAAACCGAAGACTTCATCCGACCAGGGACGTTCCAGGAAGATGAAATCCTCTCAGTCTGGACGGAACAGACAGAAGAACAACAACAGCAACAACATCTTCGGCGGTGCCATAACTCAGTTGTTCGTCTCCACTGGCTGGGGTCCGAACGGTCGGAAATAAACGCACACAGTCTTGTCAGAAAAATTTACGCTCACGCTTTTACACGGAAACTTAACGCTCTGATCTCATGACTACCTTAGTAAATTATTCTATGAATACATTTTTAAAGCATTTACTTCTTGTTGTTTTACTCGATCGTCGAACCCTTACACCAGCGGTCGGGGAACCGGGGTAAATTACCCAAAATGGGGTAAAAATGATTTTTTTTTGGGTAATAGGGAATTTTTTCTAATTTCATCGTACTCAGAGAGCGATTCTCTGACTACTTTCCAGATCTTGATGTACAAATTGTGAATTGGGTTGTAGATCCTTTTAAATGCGAAATTACTAACATACCAGGTTTGGCAGAGGCAATTCTTGAACTTCGAGCCAATACTGTATTCAATTTGAGACCAAAGCAAATCTGTCGTCTTTTTGGTTGTCAAAGGCTGCAAAGGCTTTCAAAATTGCACATGAGGAGGCGGTAAAAAAATTGCTGCCATTTGCAACAACCTACCATTGTGAACAAGGCTTTTCCACTCTAATGAACATAAAAACGAAAAACAGAAATCGATTAAACGCCGAAGACTGTATTCAAATTGCTCTTACATCAAAAAGTCCCAATTTTAAAGTAATTATATCAAACATGAAATCATTTCAACGAAGGGATTTTCAAAATTTGTGTCAATTTTAAGAACACTAGACTATTTTCCAAAACCTGAAGGGGGAAAGTTTTCAATTAATTTTTGTTTGTTCCAATTTAAGAATTTTATTTTGTTTGTCTATTACTATTTGTTACTATTTTCATGTAACTTTTTTTTATAAATATGTAAATGCAAATTAATTCAATAAATAATGTTTATTTAAAATACATGATTGTCGATGAATTCAGATGGGGGGTATACATAGCAATAATGTTTTGGGTAATTTAAAAAGTTACGACGNTGAATCTATGTTTCATGAATTCAGAAGGGGGGGGGGGTAACTTACGCAATAATATTTTGGGGTAATGGTTAAAAAAGTTCCCCGACCGCTGCCCTACACCCTTATTCACAGAAAATGCAGTAGCTTTAAGTTATGTAACCCTAGTTAAGTATCAAATTACTTATTAAATAATAAAAATAATAACAGTTACAAAATTGCAAAGAAATAAATAACTTTAGATTAACGAAACTTGTTAAGTTATATGAAAAAAATGTTCGTAACTACAAATTCGTCAGAAAGTATGGAAGAATTGGCTTTGAAAAAAAAAACAGTCAAATTAAATGCCCTCCTACAAGTACTTTTCAAAATGATAGTGAAAGAAACAAATGGATATGAAGCAAGAAAAGTAGTTTTTAGTATTTCTTGAGGAACTTAACTGCATTTTGTTAAATATACTTATTTTAGCGAATATAATAGAAATGACGCACTTTCCTTAAACTTAATTATACGACAAATGTCGAATGTCGTACGACTTTGTGATTCGTTACAACTTACAACTAGACTTACCGTTCATCTCTTTCATGGCTTTGGTGAAGTCGCCGGGTTCTTTGAAACTGACGAAACCGTAACCCTTCGTCTTGTTGGTCCTCTTGTCCCTTATGACTTTAGCCCTCAGAAAAGAAGGGTACTTGTTGAAAGTCCTGGTCAGCAACTCGTCGGTGACGTCGTTGCCCAGATCTCCGCAGAATATCCTGAAATCGTCCTCCGTCCAATCACCCAAAGAGTGATCCTCCCACGTGTGACCACCGGCGGTCCTCATCAACTTCTTGTTCTTACCGCGACGCTTATGATCGTCCGGTCCGAAAGATTGCAAAGCGCTGCTCGCCTTACCTGAATATATATTTAAAATAATTATTTAACTAACTATAAATCATTTAGTAAGACTGAAATGCACCTTGGGATATGGCCAATTCGGCGCTGACCTTCTCGTTCTTTAACTTCTTCAACTTCTTCTCGACCTCCGATTGCAGCGACATAAAATCGACGGCTTGCTGCTGCTGCTGTTGTTGCTGCTGAAGATTGCTGGGGGCGACGGTGATCGGTTTGGGGTTCGTGTACAGGGCCGGCTTCGCGCAAACCACGGCCGGCTGCGATATCACCGGCGTCGAGTACAGTTCGTAAGACGAATTCTTCGTGCTGTTCACCTGCGTCGGTATGAGCATCGGAGGCATCGGGGGCGGCGGTATGTTTCCGAAACCGGGCAGGTTGAATCCGTTGTACGTGCCGAGGCCCATCACCGTTCCGGATATCTCCGCTTCGAATCTGCGAGAGAGAGAAAAAAAGTTTTTGTTATTATGTTATGTATAACCGGTATTGTTTATATTATGTTAGCCCTTATTATTTTATACATGTTTATTTATGTAAGTCATTAAGACAAATACCACTTAGGAAAATCCCATAACTAATCATCGTGTAATGACTATTCTTAATCACCATGTTTTGAACAAACTCGAAGGTCCAATCTATAATGACCCTTTAATATGTACATCTGCCTAATGACTTAAGTGCTCTTCCTTGGAGAGTCCAAGGAAGAGCACTTACTTCGTAAACACTAACTTAAGAGCAGAATGTAACTCTTAGTTAATAATACCTGGGATCAACTATTGTTTAGTTGACTTCTCAATAAAACTACGATGTATACAATAAAACTAAATTAAGAATATTGCATTTAATATTCATAAAACCCTCCAAGACTCCGCAACGACATAACTACGAGATAATCCACGGTGTCCAAGGATTTCTTAACCCTGGGACACGACAATTATAGGCGGCCGCGGATTCATCGCAATTCTTCTGTTATCGTGAGCCATTGTTAAGTTAAGTTAGGTTAGTAATCAGGATTGTTTGAAAATACAAACCTACTCATTTCGTCTTCCATTTGGCGGAATTTATCGCCCGGCTTTTCCATCTCGAATCCGAAACGGCAATTTCCCTTTTACGATTCACACCTTCTTCACATCAACATCACGCATAATAATACTGGCAGTTTATCGTCAAAGTTTCGTTTACTTTGACAGTTCCAATTGGATTCGATGCGAATTCTTGTTTTCGCATTCAATTGTTAGGCGGATAGGCAACTTTGTACTCGCAGCAGTTAAATAATTGCCTAAAATTACTTTCAAATTCTTATTGCGATAGGGCTGTAATCACATTATGATAAGCATAAACTTACACTAAATCCTATAGGAAGCTGGATCTTGCAATGAATAAAACTTGTGCAATATATATCTTATTGTATTTTCATAAATAATCTACATTCCCGCGTTTTATTTACCCTGTATAATACGTAAGTTAGGAATGAATTCACGTTTGCATGGAAAATTTTGAACCGAAAGTTACCTCTGATTTAAGCAATTAGATTAAAGTCCACGTGTCGATGTAGACTATGTACTGGGTGATTCATAAAACGGAATGTCAACGTCATGGAAATATTATATACACTGTGTATATTGAGTTGTTTGCATATGTTACATTTCTTTTGGTAATTGTTTGTGAAAGAGGACTGCGGGATCGATCAAGTACATACGAACTGATGAATTGTTACAAATCAATGATTTAGTTTTTCGAAGATCAAACACGTTTATCTCTTTGCTGTGTTATAATGGTAAAAAAAAAGAGAGGATCATTCCAATCCTAGCAACCAGTTTATACCCTGCACCAAGAACAAGATCATCGGTTGCCAAGCGACCAACCAACGTATCCAATCAAGCAGTTGGCCGTAAAGGACGTGCGGCTTCTCCCACGGATTGCAGAACATCTTCTTCAAATCCACCTTCTCCTTGCAATACGGACACGTCTGCTTTTTACCGACGATGCACCAACCTCTTATGCAGAACTCGTGGAATCTGCCAGATATAATAAACATTTACTTGCTACAAACAATAATAGCCGAGTGCGCAAAAACTTACACGTGTTCGCATGACAACTTGTAGGAGTTCTCGATGACACCAGCTTCCTTCTCGCTGACGAACAGCTTGTTGCCGCACACCGCACAGACTCCCGGCTCTAAGTTGCGTGTGGGCATCCCTTGCGAAGTGTAGTACTGCAATTACCATAAAGCATGAATTTGGAGTTTAACACTCAATTTTGGGGGGAAAACTCACGCCTATGTGGGAGGCCATTTTATCTGCGCAAATCTCGGAAATATCTCTACCCAACACCCCATAATACAGGCCGTAAAAGACGAATAACAATCCGCAATCCATCCAAGTGTTCGACTTCGCGTCGAACACAATATTGAAGCCGAAGAATGTGACGAGCATAATGACATACCCAATTATTCCTAGAACGTAGCTTAATTTGTACAGCAGAAAGAACCATTTGTAAACCAATCTGGAAACAGTGGAAGCAATTAATTTCTATTGCCGTTACGTTTTATTAATTGATCAACCTTGGTGTTGTTCCTTCTATCGGCTTTTGCAGAGCCTTCCTCACTATCAGCCCGCTGATGCAAGAGAACACCAGCCATATGAAAATGAACCTCCACCAGAGGTTCTTCACAGATATCATAATCGGAATCAGCCAGAGACCAATCAAAGTCGCTATCTGCAGCATAAAATGTTGTACAAAAAAAAAACAACAAATAAATGGGAATTGTAATTCAACTCACAGAATACGATCTGTAGCTCCTCCTCTTCCATTCAATCAAAGCGAATTGAGCTACGATTAAGGTAAACACTAAGATTAGGACCATCTCTGCGTGCATCTGGTCATGGCCTTTATGCTGCTCGTGCAGCTTCTGATGTTCCAGCCTCCATTTCTCCTCCGAAGTCAACTCATCGAAAGTCTAAAAGAAAAAAACATATTAATAATGGAAAATTACTAATTAGAAAAAGCTACTCACTCTATTATTCAAATCAACCGGTTTATGTAAATCCATGTTTGCAGTCTTCTTGAGATAACTCACAACATTATTTCACTCTACCCTTAATACCTTTTCCTTATATTATTTTATAAATATTATTTTTTTTTTGGTAAATTCAATTTGCATCTACGAATTTTGACAATGCCTCCTAACCATTCTATTTGCGAATCACCAACTCGGGCTTGGATACGTGCTGATCAATACCAATCAAAAAGCCGCGAGCCACAGATGGCGCCCCTGCAAATAATGGTATCGATCGATAAATGAACAGCTGATTGGCGGCGAAAACAAAGCGATACGATAATTGGATATTCGAAGAACCAATTGGATTGGTTGGTAACTTTTGAATTGGAAAAAATGAGTGTTCCTCGCCACGTATTCATCACATAATTGATAAATGCGTTATCTCCTTGAATAAATATTGCTTATCGCACGATACGAATGTACTAATCTTGAAGAATAGATTTACGTAATTTTGTTGAAACAAAAAAAATGAAGGTATTAGCTTTAAGCCAGAATTAATGATTGGTAGAGATAGTTGTGTTGCCTATACTATTCATTTAAATGTTTCAAAAGTGTATTATAATTAATTTACTTGTTAAAGGATAAATTTGGTTTGCAATATTTATTATTAGAATTATTTCTTACAATTATTAATTGAAACATTTCTTAATATTTATTTCAGTTCATTAAAATATCTTTATTGATAGAAAATAGATTTTAAAATGATCTATTCTGTGTCTTATTTTTATGGTTTGAATGGTTGAATTGAATGAACATTGACACACAATTTTGAGCATAAACTTCTTTGATATCATCTGTGTATAGGGTTCAGGTAATGTTTGCGTTTGGATCTAGGAACTTCAGATTCTTTGTTAGGTGGAGCGCCTAGATTTGTTTCGTTTTTCTTCTAAACATGTCCGATTTCTTATAAAAAAAATATACATCTCGTATGAGTTTTTATAGAAATTATTTTATATATTTCAGCTTGGATTTCGGATCATGTTTAGGTAGCGTTTGAAATTAGATAATTTTGAATTTGATGGTGATAATTTCGCGACATATGTGACATGACCAAAGGATGCTTGCGCAGACTTTGCACGAGCTGTGTCCGCACTTGAAGACAATAGTTTTAGGCCTGTCCATGCAGATGGTGCAAGCGACTCCTTCTTGCCGGGTCTCGAATTCGGCTATTTTCGTCTCCAGTTGGGCGATCTGCTTCGTCACATCTTTAGGACTTCTGGGTATTACGACGGTGTCTTTCATTATCAAGCGATTCTGGATGAGAACTTTGCAGACGAGGCATTTCTTCATGTAGGACGAGCAATGGATGCACGCCGGTGCGTGATTGCACGGCTCCAGACGCACGTTTTCCTCGGAAGTGTTTGTACAGAATCTGCATTCCGCTGGTGGCCTGAAGCCCTTCATCACAGCCTGCATGTCCGGATTCTTCACGATATCGAGAGGAGTTTGCCCGTTCGAGTTGAGCGCGTAAACGTTTGCACCTGCAGCAATCAAATAGCACGCGATTTCGATGTCCGAAGAGCGGACGTTCGAGTTCTTGATCAATTTGAACATGTCGCGGATGACGTCGTCTGTTGGGTTCATCCTGGTGCGAACTGTTATGTTCAACACTGTTATGTGAAGACTGCTGTTGCCGTCCGCGTCTGTTACGTTGACATCTGCTTTATTGCTGACCAGAATCTCAACAGCCGCCTGATGGGTTTCGCTGACGGCTATGTGAAGTGCGGTTTTGCCGTTGGTAGTCTTCAGATTAATATTAGCCTTCCCCAGTCTCAGCAAGAATTTCAATACGTCCGAATATGCGGTGGACATATGCAAGGGCGCTTTACCGTTCTGCATTGATCGCAGATCGACCAATTCAGGTGAACGTTGCAGGATCCTCGCGGTCGCAGCCGCATGTCCCAATCGAGCTGCTTCGTGAAGAGCGTTGAATCCACGATCATTCGTCACAGACGTATCCATTTTACGCGATGAGCAGAGGATCTGGACGATTTCGATGCGATTCTCTTGCACGGCTACATGCAAGGCCGTGTTTCCTCGAGAATCCTTCGTATTAGGATCGACACCACCCTCAAGCAGTAATCGCAAGATCGAACCATCCGCACTTTTCGCTGCTTCCTGCAGAGCCGTGTAACCGTTGAAGTTCTTAATGTTAGCATCGATCCCCGTCGTCAACAAGATCTGAATGGACATCTCGCTTTCTTCCTGCACCGCGCAGTGAAGAGCCGTACGGCCTCTAACATCGACAGCGTTCACTTTGGTACCGGCTTTAACGAGAGTCTTCAGATTTGCCGGACCTGTTTCCGCGGCTTTATGCAACGCCGTATACCCCGAACACTCCCTCATGTTCGGATCGGCGCCGGCTCTCAGCAATTTCTTAACGTGCTTCACATTCACCGAGGATTTAGCTAAGACATGTAGAGCCGTACTGCCTTCGCGATTTGACGCGTTCACTTCACATCCACCCTTAACCAGAAGCTCCAAAATCTCCGAAGGATTCTGCGCTGCCTCGTGCAGAGGTGTGCTTTCCAGATGCCTCTTGCAGTTGGGGTTCGCTCCCGCTTCCAGCAGGATCTTCGCGGCCGGAACTGCCTGATGGATAGCGGCCAAATGGAGAGCGGTGCATCCTCTGTCGTTGCTCGCCTCCAAATCGGCGCCTGCAACTATCAGCATCTTCAGATTCTCGTTGTGAGAACCGATCGCCGCGCAGTGAAGGGCCGTGTTCCCTTTGCCATCTGTGCACGTGTGCTTCGCTTTCGCTGCTAAAAGGATCTTCACGCATTCCGGTGAGCTGTACCGCGCTGCGCAATGAAGAGGTGTTTGTCCGTGGACGTTGCGTTTGTTTATGTAGGGATTCTTTGCCAACAGTCTGATGATCTCCGTGTGGTTTCCGAAGACTGCGTAATGTAGCAGAGTGTCTCCTTCCCTATCCGCCGTGTCCAAAGTTTCACCTTTCTCGATAAATTCTTTCACAAATTCAACATCTCCGAAGAGCATTGCTATCAGAGGACTCGATTTCCTTTTTCTTTTAGTACCCTGTAAATATATCTAATTAATAACAATACTTATTAAACATTTATATAATCGTCATGAAAATATGAACACAAACAGTTTTATTATACAAAAATTGTTTTAGTAATATTGATATTTAGTTAACGTTTATAAGATAATGAATTAAGTAATAAATGTTTAGTTCCAATCAAATTAATTAATTAAACATTTATATAATCGTCATGAAAGTATGAACACAAACAGTTTTATTATACAAAAATTGTTTTAGTAATATTGATTTTTAGTTAAGGTTTATAAGAGAATGAATTAAGTTCCAATCAAATTAATTAATAACAATACTTATTAAACATTTATATAATCGTCATGAAAATATGAACACAAACAGTTTTATTATACAAAAATTGTTTTAGTAATATTGATATTTAGTTAACGTTTATAAGAGAATGAATTAAGTAATAAATGTTTAGTTCCAATAAAATTAATTAATTAAACATTTCTAAATCGTCATGAAAATATGAACACAAACAGTTTTATTATACAAAAATTGTGTTTAGTAATATTGATTTTTAGTTAACGTTTATAAGATAATGAATTAAGTAATAAATGTTTAGTTCCAATCACAATTAATTAATTAAACATTTTATAATCGTCATGAAAATATGAACACAAACAGTTTTATTATACAAAAATTGTTTTAGTAATATTGATTTTTAGTTAACGTTTATAAGATAATGAATTAAGTAATAAATGTTTAGTTCCAATCAAATTAATTAATTAAACATTTTATAATCGTCATGAAAATATGAACACAAACAGTTTTATTATACAAAAATTGTTTTAGTAATATTGATATTTAGTTAACGTTTATAAGATAATGAATTAAGTAATAAATGTTTAGTTCCAATCAAATTAATTAATTAAACATTTATATAATCGTCATGAAAATATGAACACAAACAGTTTTATTATACAAAAATTGTTTTAGTAATATTGATATTTAGTTAACGTTTATAAGATAATGAATTAAGTAATAAATGTTTAGTTCCAATCAAATTAATTAATTAAACATTTATATAATCGTCATGAAAATATGAACACAAACAGTTTTATTATACAAAAATTGTTTTAGTAAAATTGATATTTAGTTAACGTTTATAAGATAATGAATTAAGTAATAAATGTTTAGTTCCAATCCAAATAATTAATTGTTGAAAATGTTGAAATTTAAGAGTTTCGTCAATTGTCATAACTGACCTTATCTATTTTGATTTTGTGCGTGGGGAACACCAAATTCGATTCGGAGTTGCCATGGTTTCTGAGTATCCTGAAGAGCTCCTGTTTGGCGCCCCTCCGCACCCTCAGATTGATGGCCCAATGGTACGTATCGTCAATCTCGTAGGTCGTGAAGGGATGTACGAGGGTGTGGTAACCATTGCGATAGCAACGGTAGCAGATTATGTAATCCTCGCAGACGCAGCACTGGTAGACGTCAATGAGTCCGATGTCGATGGTGCCGCAACTGCTGCAGGGTGTCTCCAGATAATTACGGGGTTTGCGCAACGTTTCGTTGACCCATCGCACGTCCACCTTGCTCCTGTCGGGTAGGTGAAGTTCGCAGACGGGTTCGACGAATATTTCGTCATCTGAAACGAGAAATTCAATTCCGCATCGATGAAGTAAAGTAAATCATTAAAAAAAGTCGATCCATGCACGCGTCGACGTGACAAATGGCGATCGATCGTGTGCGTTTTGTTTTCTTTCTAAAAAAAAAGAAAAAGAAAAAAAGAAAAAAAAAACATAAAGAAAGAAAGAATGGTTTTACCTTCAGACCAGTCCCAGTACGTAGTTCCGTAACTCCTGTATTTAATCAATAGCATGGTTAAGCGATTCCACTGTGATGGTGGACGTAATGTATTCTTAGTTTTGTTTGAAGAAACTGTTGTGTGCGTCGTCCTGTGTTGTTGAATCGACGTCGAAAGAATGTGCGCAACTGCTGACTCTCGTCCGGGCACCAATATCAACCCTCAACCAACCCTCGGTTACGCAGCACAGGTGCTTTTGAAATTTCGAACGGCAGAGCCATCTGTTTCCAATTTCGACCGACGTGGGGGTGAAACGCATGCATCCAAAACGTGTATTAGAGCAAACAACCCCACCGCATCAAACAACAACATCATTAGAAAATGATACAAAAATGTGACCAGAGTTAATTGCGTAAGTTCGAAAACACGTCGGAATTGCGAAGGGAAACCAGTGATGTGAGTGAAAAGACACTGTGAGGGTGTCGTTACCTCCCGAACGTTCATCTAATTGCGTAACAGTGAGCATCACCATTGTCGATCATGTTGTCCGTTCGTATCGGTGCTTTCAACGATAGTGAATTGAGCGGAAGCGATCAGTGTAAGATCATCGTTCCATTACCAAAATCAATAGTTCTTAGTTACAAATCAGTGTTTCCCAACCAATGTATCTCAATCAGAATACACCAACCAATTGATATAATTTTCTATGTACTAATGCAGAGGTGTCCAAACTACGGCCCGCGGGCCAAACCCGGCCCGGCAGGCGATTTTATCCGGCCCGTCAAGTATTTTGAAACATTTTGTAAAATATAAACTTTATTAGATCACATGCACTCAATCATCGCCAATTTCGATCTTTCCTCGAAGAAATTGAATCTGAGTCTGTTGACTTGTCGTATTATACAGGAGCTTAGCTGTGGAAAAGTGTTATTGCAGTTCTTCAAGCTCAGAAAGGAAATTAAAATTTTTCTTGCGGAAAAGAATCACCCTGAACCGCTTTTATCGGATGCAGAGTGGCTCTGGAATTTGGCAATTTTTGCAGATGTCGTGACACACGTAAATAACTTGAATTTAAAGCTCCAAGGTAAAAACAACTTAATTTGTGATTTATTCAATCAAATCAAAGCATTCAGAGCCAAGCTGATATTGCTCGAAAGTCATATGAATGAATGTAATTTTTCCCATTTCACGTGCTGTGAAAAATTGAGTACAGAATCTGACGAAAGATTTCCCACCATATTTGCTCGCGGATTTAAAACTAGAATTTCAAAAGCGTTTTTCTGATCTTGACATAAATTCAAGGGAAATTCGGCTGTTTCAAAATCCAACGTTGGTGACGTTTCAAGTCAGTTTCAAATGGAAATAATTGATCTTCAAGCTAGCGATCAAATCAAGAACAAATACAAGGAAGGAAACTTGATCGATTTTTACAAATTTTCCTAATTTAAAGCAATTGGCTGGTAAATTTATTTCTATGTATGGCACTACCTATATGTGCGAACAAACTTTTTCCAGGATGAAGTATCTGAAATCTAAATATAGGGCAAATTTATCGGATGATCATTTGCAATCATTGCTAATAATTGGTGTTTCCGATTTGAATCCCAACTTTGAAGAAACTCTCCAGGAAAAAACCCAGTTCCACCATTCCCATTAAAAATTCCATGAAATAATTTTATAATTTAGACATGTTTGTTTAGTATTGTTATATCTGTAATTTACTATAAAAAATAAAATTCAATGCTGCTTTACTTGTAATAAGGTTTTTTAATTAAATACCAAACTGGCACTCGCAGCAAAAAGTTTGGACGCCTCTGTGCTAATGAAACCTGTTTGAGGAACACTGTTGCATGTACATCTAATACTTTATAGTAAATATTTTACATCTTTTGTTGTTTGCAGTTGAGTTGGACGAAGTCTTCAGAGTGTTCATCCCGGGCAAGAATCTCGTGCAGGTGGAATGGGACAGCATTTTCATCGAGAAGTTCGGGATATTGCACAACAAAGGGGAAAAATGCGATGGTTGCGATGGCGACGAAATCGCGACAGGCCAGATCCGGTGCTTGATCGGTGCCGACTGTCATCTCTGCATCAAATGTTACCATAGCAACAAACACTTTCCGTCGCATCCGTTCCGGACTTTCGGAAGCCACAGTAACGATGGAAATCACTTGACGTAATTGACATTTCAAATTTATGTATTATTTATTGATTTGCAGGATGTCATGAAAAAAAGCGTTGCCATTTTGTTTGTCGCCATTTTTGTTGTTAGTTTGAGGTTAATTTTAGACTTTTAGATCGTTTAATGGAAAAACACAATGTTTATATCAAAAACACAATTGAAACGATGTTAAATATTTTTTTTGTTGCAGATATCATTTGCCGGAGAGAAAATACGCGAAGATAGAGTTGGCGAGGATAGTGAAAGCGTTTTGCGGAAGATCGCTACCAGAGGGCGGTTTCGGTCTGAAATTCTATAAGGTGAATTAGGTTCAATTCTTATTGCGTTATTGAATTGACAACGTTTCTTTTTGTAGAGCATCAAGTTGAAGAGTCAGAAGAGCGCGCACGCGGCTCTCTTGATTGGAGAACTTGCGTTCGCCAGAAAGTTGATCCAAAGAGGAATGAATATTGATGCTCGCGACAGAGATGGGGACAACCTCTTGCATTACGCCGTTTTCGGTGGTCACTGCGATATCCTGCAAATGCTGATACGATTCGGCGCGAAGTTGAACGCGACCAACAAGTTTAAACATACGGCTCTCCATTGCGCGTGCAGATACAGCTCGAAGGAATGCGTGAGAATCTTGCTTGCAGCGGGTGCTGATTATCGGATAAGAGATCAGAAAGGAAACACGACTCTGCATTTCGCCGCGAAAGGCGATTGCTGGGAAAACATGCAATTGTTGATCGGTGCTGGCGCCGATCTGGAAGCGCTCAATAAATCGAACAAAACGGCTCTTCATTTAGCCGTAGCCTACGATTCTCGTAAATGCTTTGAAATCCTTTTGGCGGCCGGAGCAGATCCGAACTGCGAGGATATCAATGGTGATACTCCTCTTCATGTATTAAGCGGGAAACCTCATCAAGAAATGTTTGATCTTCTGTTGCGGAAAGAGCCGCAGCTGGATGCAACCGATGGGATGGGACGCACCGCTCTTCATATAGCCGTGTCTTCGAATTCTCGTAAATGCGTTGAGCTTCTTCTGGAGGCTGAAGCAAACCCGGATTGCGAGGATATCAATGGCAATACGCCTCTGCACTTTCTATGCGCGAATCCTCAACTTGAAGTGCTCGATCTTCTGGTGAGGAAGAATGTTAAAGTGGATGCGATTAACGGGTTGGGACGCACCGCTCTGCATATGGCCGTGATCCAAAATCGTGGACAATTCGTCGAGGCTCTGATGGGTGCAGGCGCTGATCCCAATTTCAAAGACTTGGATGGAAACACTTCTCTGCATCTGGCAGCTGAAAATACGCCGGAGATGATGGAAACGCTCCTGAAAGCAGGGGCTAAAGTGAGCGAGATTAACGGGAAAGGATGGACGGCGCACGTTATGCTCGCTCCAACTGGATCCGATGAGCATCTTCAGCTGCTTCTGTCGGCGGGCGCCAATCCCAACTACAGGACACGCGAAGGCGACATCCTGCTGCACGACGCCGTCCGAAGAAAGAACGTGGAGCGAGTGAAAATGCTGCTGAAAGCAGGCGCCAAACCGAACCTGATCGATCGTAACGGCAACGCACCTCTTCACATCGCCATTCAACGCTCGAATTACCTGCAGATGATCGACGTGCTCTGCTCAGCTGAAGGAATCAACTTTGGGGTGCGAAACAAGCTCGGACACAACCCTCTGCAGCATGCAGCCGCTCACGGCAACGAGTACGCAGTCGAGAAGATTCTTTCGATCAATTCTGATAAGCAGTTCGTCGATGCGAGGACCGAAGAGGACGGTTTCTCCGCTCTTCATTTGGTGCAAAACAACAAGGCAATAGTAGAGATGTTGATCAACAAAGGCGGCGCCAATATCGAGTTGAGGAGTCGCAAAGGACACACGCCTCTTCATCAGGCCATCATCAAGCGTTACCTCAAAGTCATCGAGATTCTGATCCAATTTAGAGCCGACTTGAACGCGGTCAACGATAACGGTAACACCTGCATTGACATGGCTCTGGCCGCCAAAAGAAACGTCTCCGAGCACGAGTTGGATCAATCGCCGACCATCAAGGCGATCTACGATTCTCTACCTGAAGAAGTCTTGGATACGAAATGCGGTATAGCCATCAGCTGCTATTTGTTAAAGCACGGCACAGATTACAATGCCAATAAATCTGCGATACAACATCTGGATGCGAACAGCAGGAACGTGTTGAGGAGTTACAAATCGCAGGTCGAGTGTAATTTCTGTATGGATTTCACTGATGAGAACGTGTATCTGGAGCCGTGCAAGCATTCTCCAGCTTGCGTCCACTGCACATCGTTCATGATGAAGTGCATGATTTGCGGCGTCTCCGTTAATAAAAAAATCAGAGAGGACGGTACAGTTCTGCAGGAAGCGAAAAATACGACCGGCGATGAGAGGGTGACGCAGTTGGAGATGAAACTCGCTGAGTATCAGAAAGTTCACGAGAGTTTGAAGTGCAGCCTTTGCAAGGAATGCAGGAAGAACATAATGTTCATCTGCGGACACGGCACCTGCTTCAAATGTGCAGACACCTTGACGGATTGTCACGAATGCGGATCGACGATTACGAGAAAAATAATCATCTATTAATTTCAATTTAACAATGAATCAAAATCGACTTAAGTTGGTACATTGTACAATTGCATCTGTCAGTCAAATTGCTCTAATTAATACCAACTTAAAACAATGGATCTCATAATGTTGGTAGATGTTTATGTCTTAAATTAGACATGGTGTGTATTCAACTTTAAATGTAAATAATTACGAAAATCAAATTAAATAATTAACAAATTTAAATATATTTACTAAGAGCTTTTCTATACACTATACAAATTTCGAGGCTATCGCCAAAATCTTCGTGTAATCGGCGCCCTTCGACTGCGTTTTCTCTTTCAATATCGTCCTCAGGATTGTTGGAATCGGTACGTGTATCCTCGTCCCAACAGGCGTTCCACTTTCATCGATTAAAACCAAATTGTTGCTATCGAATTTCGGAACTTTCGTCTTCTGATTTTGCTTCAGACCAACCAAAATCCCCTTTTTCTTCTCACCCTTAATAGCAACTAACACCTTATCACCTGAAAATCATACACTTTTTAATATCATTCCAATTATTTATGAACAAAACACACCTATTTTCCCAATGCCTGTCTTATTGTAAACATGTATGCATTTGGGTGGTTTTCCTTCGGCCATGGCTCGTTTACCAATCTCACTGTTATCAACAACTCTCAGCTTGGTCATCTTCTGGATTTCCCTGCAGCATGATGAAGTGTGGAAGTACTTGAGTCCATTGGAAACGCTTCTGCTTCCATTGAGAATTCCAGAATTCATCAACATTTTTTATTATTTACGTTATTAGCACTCTTAAATAATGATTTTTTTTGTAGGTTATGGTTCTTGTCAATAAATATTTAAGTTGGCGAAAGATGTCGCTGCTCTTTACGAATATAACCAATACTTAGAAATAAATCAATACAGATGTCGCCACAAGTACCGAAAGACATCACTTAAAATTAATAATATTCATAAAATTCATAGTAATTAGATACGTAAACAATTAATAAACATATATAATCAAAAGGTAAATTAATTTCAACTTGATTTATAATAAAATCAAAGATATCTCTGTAAAAACAAACAAATGAGAGTTGTTAATAACATAAACTAATTAATTGCATAAAAAACAAAACTTATTTTATAACTTTCGTTAAGTATAAATATTACATAAAATATTGATTGATGCAATGCGTGTTGTTGGTTGTGTCGGCTTTCGGTCAATAGGTGAAGAATGTTAGCACCAGACGTTCCCAACCCCTCGAAACAGTGGCGTGCACAAATTTAATTCAGATTAAAAAAAATTAGGGATGATAAATATTTGTGTTGTGAACATCTTAATTTTATACATTTAGTTTAACTAAAATTGGAAACTACACTCATAAGTATTTGAATTCGAATTTAATTATATAAAAGACGTTTTTATTGATTGAAATACTCAGATTTCCTTATAGAAATGTAACTGCTTTTTTCATACATAAATTGTATAGTTTTTCAAAAACAATTATAAATGTTTTAGTAATCTATGCAATACTAATTGTTCACTAGTCCATTTGTAGTTTTTCAATTAATCAATTTGAAACTGATAATTATTGTTATTTAAAATTTATACTTAAATGTTAAATAATGTGCAGATTTCAAAAAAACCATCTCTGATTTGATGTATCAATTATAATTTATGAAAAAAATAAAATACGCAGCAACTTGATTAAATTATCGTAATTGATAAACGTCTTTATATAATTTAAGTTGGTATTAATTTAACTTGTCATTTAAAATTTTTGTGAAATTGATGCTTTAATCAAATGTGGACAAGATACATTATATAACTCCTCTTTTCATTTATGTTAGTAGAAAATTTAATAAGCAACTTGACAAGAAATTGCGTTTTGTAAGTTGTAATAAAGATATACAAAATAAAATTCATATCTACGTCTAGTTTAGTTGGTATTTGTTTAAGTTAATTGGATGTATATAATGAAATGTCTTAAGGTTGGTACTTGTATAAAATTGTTTGTAGTTACTGTAAACAAAGGAAACAATAAACAAAATGTTTATGCAGAGTTACTTGATTAATTAGTAAATAATTAAATGATGGTAATTTAATAGTGAATGTTAAAATTATATAAAAATTTATGGATTAACCAACAATTTCAATAATTTAAAAACGTATTGAAATAAAATAAATGTATGTTATTTCTAATCTAATTGCAAGATAAATTTGGAATAAAGTTATATATTATAAAAAACAATAGACAACATTAAAGTAGTAAATTGAATCATGGCATGCTTCTAACTTCATTTTTTTTTATACATAACAACCAAAACAAAAAAAAAGATGAAGAACGTTGAGTATGAAATAATGAATGGATAAATAATAGTAGCAATGGAAACAAATGTAAAGAAAAATCACTTAAAAAAACAGTTATTTCATAATTGAGAATTAAAAATCTATCAAATACTTTTTATTAAAAATATAATTAATTGGATTAGACTTGGTTTATTTCATAATTGTTATTAATTATGAATAATATTGTAAAATTGTTGATATTAACTATGTTTTTTTTTTAACATTATTTATAAGAAAATTAATTATAAAATTATACAATTAATAGGAAATTAAGTAAATTTTGAGTGTTTGAATGATTTATTTATAAATATTAAGTATTAATTTGTGCGGATTGCAATTTCGCATTGTGATAATATTGAATCGAGCGTTTATAATTGTTTTTTGTTTTTTCCCTCGGCCATTGCGATCATTAAAAATTAAAGTTAATTGTGATTTGTTTAAGTGCAATTTATGGATTAAGAGAAATGTTCTTATTGGAATGACATTTTCGTAACGTTATCGATTTTTCGGATTACTTTTAAACTTAACGATGAAGAAGGAGTAGCAAAGAGATGTTTGTGTAATACAAAAAAACAAGAGATGGCTTTTCAAAACCAACAATTTTAATAATTTAAAAACGTATTGAAATAAAATAAATTTATGTTATTTCTAATCTAATTGCAAGATAAATTTGGAATAAAGTTATATATTATAGAAAACAATAGACAACATCCAACTTCATTTTTTTTTTATACATAACAACCAAAACAAAAGAAAAGATGAAGACAGTTGAGTATGAAATAATGAATGAATAAATAATGGAAACAAATGTAAAGAAAAATCACTTAAAAAAAACAGTTATTTCATAATTGAGAATTAAAAATCTATCAAATACTTTTTATTAAAAATATAATTAATTGGATTAGACTTAGTTTATTTCATAATTGTTATTAATTATGAATAATATTGTAAAATTGTTGATATTAACTATGTTTTTTTTGTTAACATTATTTATAAGAAAATTAATTATAAAATTATACAATTAATAGGAAATTAAGTAAACTCCTCTTTTCATTTATGTTAGCAGAAAATTTAATAAGCAATTTGACAAGAAATTGCGTTTTGTAAGTTGTAAAAAAGATGTACAAACAATTTCATATCCATGTCTATTTTAGTTGGTATTTGTTTAAGTTAATTGGTATGTATATAATGAAATGTCTTAAGGTTGGTACTTATATAAAATTGTTTGTAGTTACTGTAACCAAAGGAAACAATAAACAAAATGTTTATGCAGAGTTACTTGATTAATTAGTAAATAATTAAATGATGGTAATTTAACAATGAATGTTAAAATTATATAAAAATTTATGGATTAAGAGAAATTTTCTTATTGGAATTTGTAAATTTTTGTCTGTTGCGAGAGGTTATCGAATTTTCGGATTACTTTTAAACTTAACGATGCGTGGAATGGTGATGATGAGGTGTTTATGGTGGAATAGAAGAAGGAGTAGCAAAGAGATGTTTGTGTAAAGGAGATGGTGCTTTTTTGTAGAAATTAAATGTTTGTTATTCGATATTTTGGGCTCGCGTTGTGTCCGTTCGTTCGTTTCGTCATGGTAACGATACAAAATTAATAAATTTGCAACTTTTGTTTTATTAACAAGAATCTTCATTATAGAAAAAAAATAACTATTTTCCCCAATTTCCTTCAATGCAATTGATACATCAAACAAGAGATGGCTTTTCAAAACCAACAATTTTAATAATTTAAAAACGTATTGAAAAAAAATAAATAATTGAAATAAGATAAATTTGGAATAAAGTTATATATTATAGAAAACAATAGACAACATTAAAGTAGTAAATTGAATCATGGCATGCTTCTAACTTCATTTTTTTTTTATACATAACAACCAAAACAAAAAAAAAAGATGAAGAACGTTGAGTATGAAATAATGAATGGATAAATAATAGTAGCAATGGAAGCAAATGTAAAGAAAAATAACTTAAAAAAAAAACTGTTATTTCACGATTGAGAATTACAAATGTATCAAATACTTTTATTAAAATTATAATTATTTGGATATTGTAAAATTGTTGATATTAACTATGTTTTTTTTAACATTATTTATAAGAAAATTAATTATAAAATTATACAATTAATAGGAAATTAAGTAAATTTTGAGTGTTTGAAAGATTTATTTATAAATATTAAGTATTAATTTTGATAATATTGAATCGATACTTGAGAGCGTTTATAATTGTTTTTTGTTTTTTCCCTCGGCCATTGCGATTATTAAAAATTAAAGTTAATTGTGATTTGTTTAAGTGCAATTTATGGATTTTAATCAAATGTGGACAAGACACATTATATGACACCTCTTTTCATTTATGTTAGTAGAAAATTTAATAAGCAATTTGACAAGAAATTGCGTTTTGTAAGTTGTAAAAAAGATGTACAAAAAATTTCATATCTATGTCTATTTCAGTTGGTATTTGTTTAAGTTAATTGGTATGTATATATAATATAATGAAATGTCTTAAGGTTGGTACTTGTATAAAATTGTTTATAGTTACTGTAAACAAAGGAAACAATAAACAAAATGTTTAATTTAATAGTGAATGTTAAAATTATATAAAAATTTATGGATTAAGAGAAATTTTCTTATTGGAATTTGTAAATTTTCGTCTGTTGCGACAGGTTATCGAATTTTCGGATTACTTTTAAACTTAACGATGCGTGGGATGGTTATGATGAGGTGTTTATGGTGGAATAGAAGAAGGAGTAGCAAAGAGATGTTTGTGTAAAGGAGATGGTGCTTTTTGTAGAAATTAAATGTTTGTTATTTGATATTTTGAGCTCGCGTTGTGTCCGTCCGTCCGTTCGTTTCGTGATGGTAACGTGAGTCCTGTAATTCTTAAAGGATGTTTGAGAGGCAGGTGTCGGGTCCAATAAGTCCCCAACGAGGAGACGGGCATTCATCGAGGTGTGGACAGGCCATAGAGCGCTTGTCAAACAAGCCGTCACGAACATTCGGCCCTTCTGGAAAAGCCCGCAAAGAGACGACGACGAGGACGACGACGACAACGGCCTCACTTGCAATATACGAACGCACTTCTTCGGCCCTTTGTGCACATGCACAACACACACACTTGTCCAAAGAAGAGGTGATGTAGTTGATGATGATGATGTAGATCATTTAGATGCAGTTGTTGATGATGATGATGAAGAAGTAGAAGTAGCAGCAGCCGCCGCCGCCGCCGCCTCAAAGGTTAGAAGGCCTTGGCGCGACCCTGTGTGCGATTTTTAATTTATGGAAATGAATATTGCACACGAAATGTGTGCATGCATTTCACAAAATCACCACCCTCCTCCTCCTTCTGATGAGGACGAGGACAATGCAATCCTTTTTGTTGAAAAGGAAACTCAAACGAAACGGGAAAGACGCGCAACCGACAACAAACAACAGCAACACACAGCACAAAACGTCAAAGACCCTAACGATGCCCTTTTTTTTTGTTGTTGCTTTTCTCC